ACAACGTTCATCAACGTGTTCAAGTCTTGCAAATCCATTCCATTTGGTGTTTCCACCTTCATCTTCTTCTACTCTCCATTGTTTTCCAACACTCAATTCCCTATACCAAAGAACATTTTTATAAAAACTCGTGATGCAAATTTCAACCTTAAATAATTACTTTTATACGAAGTGTAGAGTATATTGAGTAAGAATTGTGCTGCCAATAGTATGTCGTCCACAGAAATATGAATGATTCGAACCTAGAGAGAAAGATCTAATAGGACCGTGCTAAATAAGAGACAAAAAACACTAACTGAAATTGAATTCATTTTGACGGAAATGATTTAATTAAATCTCACATGTGAAATTCAACATATTTGAGTCATGGTGATCTTATCATTGCTCTAGACAAAGCAATACGATAAGCATTACAATTTAAACCTAAAACATAAATAAGTATCCAAAATTATGAAAAAGTTAAATAGTTTATAAGATAATTTGGTTTTTTAACTTGTGGGAATATTTATAAACTTTTTGTAAATACATATAAGGCCCGTTTAGCATAACTTCTAAGTCAAAATGAACTTTTGAGACACAAAAAATACATTTGGACCCATTTGACTAAATTTATGAAAGTGTTTATTCTAATTAGAAAATTTTTAAAGTTAATCCTACGTGATTTCAGCTAAAAACACTTTTAGAATAAGAAATCCTTTTAGAAATTAGTTTTCAAACAAAAATTAAGACATCTTTCTAAGATTTTTTTTTTTTTTACAGAATACAAAATTAATGTCAAATGGGACCACAATGTTATTAATTGGACTTTTATCAAAAAAACACATGTATAAATAAATTTTATTAAATTGAGAAAAATGAAATTCACAATGTTCTAATTGACAAATGAATCTTAAATATTGAGTTTATTGTAATGCACTGTACATGTGCGCATGCACTATACAACAGTTTTGCCATTTTTAGTACAAGTGAAATTACACAGAAAGCAAACATTTATTAATTATTTTTCTAGAAAAAATATTTAATTCAGGTGGGCAACAAAAAAAAATTCATCATAAAATATGAGTTCATTAGTCCTTTATTGATTTTATCTTATTTCATTTTATTTTAAGTAAGACTGAACACTATTAGATAGTGTTGACCCAAAAAAATATATCAATGATGTGGTTAACAGATCCCAAGACCTCTCTCTCGCGTCCACGCAAACTGAATTCCTGCACACTTGAACAAACCGCTACACGTGGGCTTCTCCGGAGAGGATGGAGCTGGCCGAGCGCACTCCTATAGTCAAGTGAGTTGGAAAAATAGTTTAGAGTGTGAGAGAGTTTTGAACGTGAGCCTCCAATAAATAAAAGAGGGCTCGGCTTGGGATTCAATAATTAAAAATGTGTATAGCAAGAACATAACTTTGAGAGCCTTGCATTACATTTGACGGCATGTGTATCTTTTAAGTTTATACCTACAA